ACACACTACTAATGCCAAAACACCTTTTGAGGGGATAGAATTTGAATTATAGCCCCAAAATTTGGAATTTTGGATCTAATCTCTAAAGATGATCTTATTGTAAAAGATGACATCCTTTTTTTGAAATTTCACACTATGATGTCGTTTTACTTGGAGCTTAACACACTTTTATGTCACGCGTAACATTCTTACATGCCGTTTGAAACAAAATTAAGCATGATGTAAATTAGTGTACGTAGAAATGACAAAATGTATCGTAGGTTCATGTGGAAAACTGAGCGCCAAAGTCCAAGTAAGTATAGAATTTTGTCAATACCTAATAATTGAACCACAATTTAAATACAAAATACTCTACTATCAACTTTTTCGATAGAACATCCCCTACAACTTTATTATTACATGTCAACTGCTAAGTTCACTTTAGCAAAAGATAAGTTGATTTTATTTTAAATTTATTGATCAACTAATAGTGAACTAATTAACAAACGAAGGCTGTAGTGTAAAACAAAACAGAAAAAATTAGAACATTGATCTCTCTCCTATTTAAGTTCCCTTAGACCATCTTAAGGTCAAGCTAAAAAAGCTAAATAAGGTAAACTATCTCATCCGATGCAAAAAGGTACAAATGGAAAAAAAAAAATTAAGCCAAATTTGGCTAGAAAACGTAAAAATCGAAGCAAAAAGCAGAACTCCGCTACCTCAATCTTTTTTTTTATAATTAATCCAACTTTTATTCCACCTTCGAAAAACGCGGGCAAATTACAATCTTAAAGAAGATCAGAAATTAGATCAAGAATATTAATCCAGTCATCAGGCAGATTAGATCTCGCTTTTGATCGTTCAACCCAATTCGCTCTGAAATTCAACGCTCTTGGCACCTCCTTGACTTTAATGACAGGATTTGTCATGAGGATATTGATCATAGAACCAATCCATGCTGCACAGCGCCATGGCTATCCTGATTTTTCTTTACCTAATGCTTTCACCAACACCTGACAGTCAGATTGGACAATGCATTTTGATCCATATTCTTGTGCTAATTTTAAACCTTCTAAGAGAACCTTTGCTTCCGCTTCAATCGGGGTGGAACAAAGAAGAGTCTCAGATCGCCCATCACACACTTGTCCATGGTGGTTAACCGCAACAACACCATAAGCCCCCGGCTGGGAGTCGCTAATGAACGACCCATCACAGTGAATCTCCATCGGATGATTACTTGGCGGGGGAGTCGTAGTGGAATGGGTTCCCCTGAGCTGAGTCGAAGAGGGAGGAATGGGAGGACGGGGACTGGGCCTCAGGCAAGATATCCATTCAGAAAGATCTCTAAGAGTTTGCATACCGACCTTTGGGGGCCAAGGAACTCTATTCTTGAACGTACATTCATTCTTTGCCTTCCATATATTCCAACAAAGGAATAAGATATGTATAAAGGATTCTTGTGAGATGACCTCCTTAATAGCACAAATCCAATCAAAGAACGAAGAATCCTGGGGAGGGAGTGGGAGAGAAGGGAAGATATTTCTCCAAGCTTCTTTGGCATGCGGGCAGTAGAAGAGGCAATGCAAGATGGACTCGTTTGAGTTCTTGCAAACTTGACAATTCGGGTTTGGGTCACATTTACGATGAAAAAGCCTCGCTTTCGTTGCCAACCCTTTTCTGGAGCACCTCCAGATGAAGAACTTGAGCTTAGGTGGAAGGTTCAAGCCCCACATCCATTTCCATTTGTCCATTGTTCCCATCGGTTGAAAGTTTGTGTTTGCTTTGTGAAAAGCGTGGTAAGCCGTCTTAACCGAGAACATTCCCTCTTTAGTAAGATTCCAAGCTAAAAAATCATCGGCACCTTCCTCCCCAATCGGAACTCTCAAAATGGAATCTAATTCCGCATTAGATACGTGGCCTTGGATAATGTCCGAGTTCCACACTCTATTATCATGATCAATCCAATCTTTGACTTTATCCGCTGTTGGGGCCCACTTATAATTGTGAAATTTTGAAGATTGGGAATCCATGGGTCTTGTCCCACCCAGGTATCCTCTCCAGAGTCAATGACCTTAATCGCTCCCAAATTCAAAACTTTTTTAGCTTCCCAGAGACTTGCCCATATCCACGAGGATCTACTTCCCTTCTTCGCGTTCATGAAATCTCCTAGTGGGAAATAGATTCCCTTAAGGAGGCGGCTCCAAAGGGAATCGGGAGAAGAAAGAAGGTGCCAAGCCTGTTTTGCCAAAAGTGTCATGTTGAAGTCTTTAAAACTCCTGAATCCCTACCCCCCCCCCTTCAGATTTCAATGCAGTGAGAACCTCCTTTCTACACCAGTGTAAGCTACTTTTCTGCATAGACCCCGACCAGAAGAAGTTGGTGAGGAGAGAATCCATTTTCTTGGTAAGATTCACCGGGAGATGGAAAAGATACATGATGCAGGATGGGAAAGCTTGAATAATGGCCTTGAGCAAAACTTCTTTCCCCCCGTGAGATAGTAGAAGGCTCTTCCAAACTTCCCCCATCTTTTCCATTCTTTGAATGAGGAAGCTAAGAGTGTCCTTTTTCGAATTACCCCATTCAGTAGGGACCCCAAGGTATTTTGAGTGGCAGTTTGATGAGGCAAAGCCCAAATGGGAAATGATGGATGCTTTGTCATCATCTGGGGCATTAGCACTGAAGAAAACGGAGGATTTAATGATATTCACTTCTTGTCCAGTGATTGCTCCATAATTGCTAATAAGATCAAGAATTTTCCCTGCTTCCTGAATGTTAGCCTTCTCGAAAATTACTGTGTCATATGCGAACAGACAATGGGTGATAGTGGGACATCTAGAGTTCAGTCTGATCCCTTTCAAATGATCCTGAGCAACCTCCTTATCGATAAAAAAGTGAGATCATTAGACATTAAAATGAAAAGGAAAGGGGACAGTGGATCGCCCTGTCTGATGCCTCACGAAGGGGTAAAAAGATATGTTGCTTCCCCATTGAAAAGGATCGAGAATTTGACCGACCGAATGAAAGCACTGACTCATTTACACCATCTATCATCAAAACCATACTTCTCAAAAAGTGCCTCTAGGCAATCCCAATCCACCATATCATATGTCTTTTTCATATCCAACTTGAGCATCATATCTCTTCTCCTGCACCGCTTGTGATTCTTGAAATGATGTAGAGCCTCGTGGACAATGATGATGTTATCTTGTATAAGACTCCCTCCGGTGAAAGCCGTCTGAAGTTGCGAGATCAGGTCGCGTGTCCATTTCTTGAGTCGAGTTGCCATAATCTTGGATATAATTTTATATATAAAATTACAGCAGCTGATAGGTCGAAACTGATTGATCATCTCAGGATGGTCAACCTTTGGGATCATAACAATATGCGTATTGTTCCATCCCTCAGGCATGGTGGCCAACTCAAAGAATCCTTTAATCTATCTACATAGGGTCTCACCAATAATGTCCCAGAAGCGGCGGTAGAAGCGGCCAGAAAACCCATTCGGACCCGTAGATTTTTTTGCTCCCAGAGAAAAGACAGCTTTCCTAATCTCCTCATTTGAAACTGGGGCACAAAGATCTTCATTCATCTCGAGTGAGACTTTATTGGGAAAGCCATCCAGAAGGGTGTTGGAAGGGATAGGATTTCTGGCTCCAAAAAGATCTTTGTAGAAATCCTGTGAGATACCCTTAAGCCTATTTTCGTCCTCAATCCAATTTCCCACTTCAACTTTTAATCATAGGATTCTATTCTTATGTCTTCTATGGACCGTGCAAGAGTGAAAAAAGGAAGAGATCTGATCACCTTTTTGAAGCCACATCACTCTCGAGCACTGATTCCAGAATGGTTCCTCATCCATCCAAATCTTTGATAACTCCTCCATGAGTCTCTTTTCTTCCTCCACCCTTTCCTGTGATCTAGGATGCCTTTGGAGAATGTCAAGTCGTTCAAGAATTTCCTGCTCCCTCTGTGATTTGCTTCTATGGTTGTCCTTCGACCACTCTTTGAGGTCACCTTCACATTTGCTAAGCTGGTAAGATGATTGACCTCCCGGATCCCAAGCCCGGGTAACAATCTCCTAGCATTCTTCTTTTTCCAACCATCTTTCATCAACCCTAAATGGCGTTTTCTTCCTCCTATTCCCTCTGTAGTGTAGCTCCAGTCTGATTGGGCAGTGATCGGATTCAACCATTTTTTCGTGAAACACCACCGCTTCACCGAAGAGAGCTCTCCAACAAGTCGAGCACAGCACCCGGTCTAATCTGACACGCATCTTATTCTAGCATGTTCGCTTGTTGGTCCAAGTGAAAGGCTCCCCTTTGAAGCCCAGGTCAATAAGGGCGTTATGGAAGATGAACCTAAGAGGGCATCTACCCTCTTTTTCAATTATCATCCCTACTACTCCAAAGAGAGCTCAGGTGCTCCCAAAATTCTCTTCTACTAACAGTGGTAGAGGGTGCATGAATAAAAGTGCAAAAAAACTTCCTACCCTTATCTATACTAACATCCATATAGTAGCTATCACTACTAATAACACAAATACTAATACCCACTTTCCACCACAAAGCAAACGAGACCTCGGCCTCTTCATTAGCCTCACTATTGGGCCTGTCCCTACTTGTGAAGCCTGTCCCTTTTCTTTTCTCTAGCCTGCGTCCCATCTCCTCCTCCAAAGCCTCCTGCTGATGTTGATACAGATAGATATATGTTGTGCATGTATTAATAGGCCTTTGGGCTCCTCTTGCAACTGCCATATGCTGCCTCGACCCTAGGGTAAGGCCCGTCTCCACCTCCGCTTCAGTTTAACCGGCGCTACCCAGGATCAGCTCCTCTTCCAATCGCAGACTTCCCTCCATTGCCCCCACTGTTCTTTCCAGCTCCAAATTAAGATTCCTTGCTCCCATCTCCTCTCTATATCTCCCTCTCTGTCTCCCTTGATTCTCCTCCTCTCTATTTTGGGCCTCCATATCGATCCTCCTGATGGTGAATCCAGGGGGAATTTATGGATTCCTCTCCGCTTGCGCCCCTCCTACCCGCGCGACTGCTCCAGCGATTTCTTCTCCTCGCCGATAATAGTCCCCCGACCTTGATCTGTCTCTTCCCGACTGTGAGCTCTGAGAACCTTCTCCTTCTCGACTGCTCCAGCGATTTCTTCTCCTCGCCGATAATAGTCCCTCGACCTTGATCTGTCTCTTCCCGACTGTGAGCTCTGAGAACCTTCTCCTTCTCTATTGTTTCTGAAGTTACCCGATCTATTTGGAGAGTCGATTCCAGCCTTGAGCGATGCGTTGTATACATCCGACAGGTACGCCACTCCATTCCTCTTCCTTTCCTCATCCATCCTTCTGCAAGTCGGCTAGTTATGGCCTATCTGCCCACAAAAATAGCACAATTTCACAAGCCTCTCATACTTGAAATCAATCACGTCGCAGTAATCCACCCCTTTTTTTCATCAGTGAATGGGAAATCGAAACCTGTTGGAACCGGCTCCCTGAGATCCACCTCCACCAGAATCCTCAAAAATCTTCTATATCCTGTAAATTCCAGACTAGCTCTGTCCAGATCGAGGAAGCCTGGGAAATAATGGGTGCCTATAGCCATCATGTTCTGCTCATTCCTTTGATCTTGGTGCATCCCGTGAATCTGCATCCACATAGCCAGCTTCTCCATGGGTATTTCTTCTCGCTTCCCTCTTCCGTTGTACTTCTCTATTGATGTCAAAGTGTTTGATAAGCTCCATGGTCTGTCTCTCCAGATTCTTTCTCTAATCTCAGGGTTACTGAAGGTGAATATGAAGAGGTTTTGAGTATCAGCAGGTTGAACATTCACCTCTCCATATCCTCCCCAAGCATAACAAGCTGCTCCTGCTGCTTTTGCCAAAGCCACCCCGTTTTCAGTCAGCATCCTCCCCAGCATCATGGAGATTTCATGGCCACCAGTGGAAATCAGATTGGGGCCGCCACCTCTTCCTCTTGTTGTTGATGGGATGACTCCACCAGCATTCCTAGACTCATTTTGTGCCAAGCTGTTGATATCCATTGTGGGTAAAAAGGGGTTACCTGGTTTTTTATGTTTTGTGGTTTTTGTAGGGGAAACCAGAGTGGAGAGCAGGAACCAGAGGGAAGGTTGGAATTGATTTCTCTTGGAATCAAGAAGTCTTCTTCTTTTAGCTTTGTCCTCTTTATGGCTCTTGCTAGGTCGTTGAACCATAAATACCTCTTGATGGCGGTAGATATCTTTCCTTTCAATGCCTTCATTATTCCTATGTTGACTGAGCTTTTCCCTGCTCTGTTTCTTCCCTACCGTAACAGGGGCTCTTGGCTCGAAGATCTCCCTGCTCTGTACTCGAATATTAATGGTTTGTTCATAGGATAGCCTCTTAACTCTTCTGTTCCCTTCATCCCTTTTCCTCTTCTTCTTGATCTGACAATAGAGCATCCACCACCGCCAGTCTGGTAGTTCCCAAACAAAGTCTATCTTTATAGCACTGGTTGAACATCCCCTGAGTTGTCTTATCTCTTTTCGAATCTTTGCTATTGGAGTGCAGATGTATCTTTCCTCCCCTCGATATTCTCTACAATGTGTGAGATCTTTGCTTAAAGCTGTGTAACTCTTTTGGAATCTCTTTGCAAGAGCAGGATGAGTCCCAACCAAGGGGACGGGAAATGAACCGTTGGAAAGTTCAGAGAAAAATTCCGTTAGAGAGAGAGAGAGAGGAGAGAGACATGTTTTTGTTTATTCCATACCTCAATCGATAGGATGCGATTGTTACAGATTAATTAACAAAATATAACAACCCTCAAATCCTCTCCAACAATTTTTTCACCCCCCCAATAAATATATATATTAAAGTTTCTCTAGAAATAGACCATATTTCTTCACTTCTAGTTCACCACTACAATTTTACTCTCATCCTCTTCACAATTAATAATCATATTCTTCACTCAAGATAAAAAACCTATCCTCTCCTTCTAAAGCTCTTCATCATGTCAACCTAATCACCCTCCGAATAGGATGGAGCCTGAAAATGAAATTCTATCCCAAGTTTGGATTGAAATTTTGGAAGATGGATGATCTGTCAGTCATTATCAATCTACGACCAAATTTTGGAATAGAGTTGGAGTTTTGTTTGCTAGCAAAGGATTTCTGGTCTCGCCTACTGAGTGCGATTTGGCTAATCGATGGAAGAACATCCTTAGTGATGTAGTTAATAAATCAATTTTTTCATAAATTTTTTTATTTACTAATTAATTATGTAGTTTATATTTATTTTTTTTTTTTAAGTTTTGAAAGTAAAAATATAAAAGCGAACATAAGAAAAGATTTCAAGCTCAACCATTGTTGGGCCATACTACAACATTCTCCAAAATTTATGCGGCAATTTATTTCCCCCGTATCCTAATTCCACCAATGGATGGATCTTCATCAAACATGCTATCCGGCGAAAGTGATAGCCCCGACGGTCAAACAAGTGGGACTTCGTTTTCGATCAGCCGTCCCGAAGGTTGGGATAAGCAAATGAAGAAGAAAAAACCAACTTCATATTCTTCTTTAGAAAGTTGGGACAAGAATATGTCAACTTTGGTGGAGAATTCATTTACGCACAAATGGTAACACTTGCTAGAGAGGAACGTGAAGTTGCGAGAGAAACAAGATAGAAGAACAGACACGATATGATGGTAATGAGTATGGATCTTTCTCAGCATAGTCCTCGTACTAGAGCTTGATATCAAAGGCAAAAAGATGCCGTTGTGGATTCGTATGAAGATATTTCGGGAGGATCCATATATAGCCTGAACGACGACTCTTGTTATGTCTCATAAATGTAATATTTTTAGTGGATTGTTATATTTTGTGTATGACTTTATCTAGTTTGATTTCCGGTTCATGTATGCTTTATTTTGAATGTAGTTCTTCAATTATTAATGAAATCACTTCCATTATTAAAAGGGTAAATACAATATATTAGCCATAACTATTAAGCAGCGGAAAATTATAGCCACAACTATCGAAATACAAATTACTGGCCATAACTACTGTTGCGGGTCAAGATTTGGCTAACAACCCGTTATTGTTTTCAAATTTTTAACGGAGAAGGCCATGTTAGCATCGTAAAAAATATGATATGATGACTACCACGTGGGAGCCAGCTCAACATCGTAAAAGCTTAGTCATCATTATTAACAGAAGTGTTAACGAAGACTTAACGGTTGGGTAATAATTTGTATTTCGATAGTTGTTGCTATAATTCTCCGCTGCTTAATAGTTATGGCTAATATATTTTGTTTACCCTTAAATACATAAATGTTGATTTCAAAATAAAATAATAAAATAAAAGAAATACATCATTAAAACATATGCAATATGTAAAGTAAAAGAATACATAGACAAAACGATAAAACATAGGGGGATACATCATTAAAACATTGGGACCACAACAATCAAACATAGGAAATATAGATATAATACGTAGGGAATATAGATATGTCAAATTCATACTCCCCTTCATGTTTTGTCCACAAATGCTCAATCAAGTCATTTCTTGGTGCGTGATGTCCAATATGATCCCGAATCCTACTATGTCTAGCCATGCACTCCATGGGATTCAGAATGTTATGATTGGGTGGATCCCATGTCACATTTGGTTATGATCGGGTGGATCTCATGTCACATTTGGATTACTTTCATTTTCAATGTTCTCCACTAGACCATCCCCATCCCCATCCCCATACTCATACCATTGATCTTCCACTATTATATTGTGCAGAATGATACAAGTTAACATAATCTTTCTAAGTGTTTAAACATCCCATAAACGACTCGACCCTCTCACAATAGTCTACCTTTGTTGTAGTATAAAGACCCTCTCAACATCCTTGCGGTGAGCCTCTTAGTACTTGGCAACGACTTCTTCTTCTGGGTTCTTGAATTGCTAATAGTCTTCACAAAAGTAGCCCACTCAGGATATATTCTGTACGCCAAGTAATAGCATTGATCGGATGTCTTACCATTTACATCATAACTCACCTTAGAAACCAGGCCTCTTACTGCTTGATCGAATAGAGGGGATACGCCAAGAGTATTTATGTCATTTTTTAATCGAGGTGTTCCAAAAAAGGCATGCAAAATTGATGTGTCATGCGATGCTATAGCTTCAAGGATAATGATTGGTTTCTTCTTGTGCCCAGTGAATTGAAATGCCCATCCAGTAGGACAATTCTTCCATTTCTAGTGTATGCATTCAATAGATCCAATCATGCCTAGAGAGCCACGTTGTGCACCATGATGAAGGCGGCAACAAGTATCTTCCACTATCGGTGCACACAAGTACTCAGCACCATAAATATCGGTGATATCCAACCAGAACTTTCTCAGACACTCCAGTGCGGTGCTTTCACCCATTTGACATGACTCATTGAAAGAGTCCGCAGAGCATCCATATGAAAGCATGCAAAAGGCACTAGTAAGCTTTTGGCGTGGGGATAATGAGTCACGACCTACAACATCTTTCACTGGCTTGAAGTAGGCATCATACTGAACCACATCATGCATGACCCGATCGAATAAGGTAAGAGGCATCCGATATCGCCTTGTCAAGACCTAACGTCGTAGGTTTGATTGGGCTTAAATAATCTTGCATTAAGCGCTTGTGACCGTCTTCCTTATTATGCCTCGTTGATTTTTGGGTTGATGAACTGCCGCGAGATGAAGTTCATTGATGTTTGTGAGGATGGTTTGCGTACATCAGGAACATCTCTATATGGTCACGCTCAAGTTGGCACTCGTACTCACATTGTGTATCATAAGCTACTCGTTGCCTCTCATCAGCTCTCTATCAGGGGAATCCATGAAGGCAAAAGTGTTTTGGTGGCTAAAAAGATGTACAAAGGGTAGGTTGAATGGGTTTTGCAAGAAAGAAGGTTCAGTGGTGGATGAGCAGAATGGTCAAGTTTGAGGGTTCATTTAAAGAAACATGAAATTAATTCTGCTGCTATAACTAAAAATGATTAAACTTGAATGAACTGTTGATGACACCGCTCATTATGATTCATGTTGGTTAAGCAGTTGATGACACAACTCAATCTGCCAAAAGTTTGATGAGTAGTTATAGCACAACTCAATATGACAAACATGTGAGGAATCTACAACCATCTGAAACTATTATTGTGTTTTTGTCATTGATGACGTCATATTTGAAAGCCAAATTGTTTTAAATATCAAAATTAATAAAAATAAAATCAAAATGTTCGTTTTAATTAATTATAACTACACATATAAAAACTATGAATAAATCATCTAATTAAGATGTTGAAATGTACACTAATGGAGATTAACAAAATAGTCAACTTTGAAACTTTTGGCTCTTTTAGTTATCATGATTGGAGCAAAACCCCTTTCAGTGAGCCAAAAAAGTAATAAAAAATTAGTTTCGAGATTTGGC